GTGGGGTAAAGGCAGTTTTCCCATCTTATTTCTGGCATCTTGGATGCTGTTCTTGACTCCGGCCACGCATGGGTGGGTGGGGGGTGGTACCGTCACTCCATCTTCCATGCCAAGGAGCTTTCTTCTGATCAATGTCCTTAAGGGCACCTTTATTACCTCCCCGCTAAAAGCTGTACCTATTTTACCTACTCACATTTCTGCTTTCAACCTGTTAGGTGGACAGGTGAGCTGGGGCTAACGGCAGGTGCTCACCCCGACCCAGGCTCGAACTGCCGACCTTTTGATTGGCAGGATTTTTCTGCAGCACAGTGATTTGGCTTGCTGTGCTAAGCCTGAAGTACATTGCACTCTGGTGGCATTTAATCTATATAAATAAACATGTAATATTCGTTTGTGGGATTTACAGAACTCAAAAACCACTGGACGAATTGACACCAAATTTGGACACAAGACACCTAACAACCCAATGTATGTCCTTCACTCAAAAAATTGATTTTGTCATTTGGGAGTTGTAGTTGCTGGGATTTATAGTTCACCTACATTCAAAGGGCATTCTGAAACCCGCCAACGATGGAATTGAACCAAACTTGGCACACAGTTCTCCCACAACCAGCAGAAAATACTGGAAAGGTTTGGTGGGCAGTGTCCTTTGGTTTTGAAGGTGTAGTTCACCTACATCCAGAGATCACTGTGGACTCTAACAATGATGGATCTGGACCAAACTCTACACGAATACTCAATATGCCCAAATGTGAACACTGGTGGAGTTTGGGGAAAATAGAAACTTGACATTTGAAAGTTGTAGTTGCTGGGATGTATAGTTCACCTACAATCACAGAGCATTCTGAACCCCACCAAAGATAGAATTGGGCCAAACCTCCCACACGGAAACCCCCATGAGGGCCACAGCAACGCGTGGCAGGGGATGGCTAGTAATTTAATAGGACAATGTGGTTATGTATTTAGTTTGATATGCTGAAACAGTGCTGAATTCCATACCGTAGCAATCTGAGTTGGATGGTATTCTTGATCAGAATGCGTGGGTTAACATATCTTGGCATTCCCAACTTCTCTTTTTTTATCCTCATCATATTGGTTCTATTTTGAGAAGATCTTAGTGACTCTCTAGTTCTTAACTGTGTCATTACATGCCCACCCATACTGAGATGTAGGTTTAACTGGATTCCACTTGTCACACTTCTCTAACTCTTTGCTCGGACTCTGATTAGTAAAGCAGAAGTCCAATAGATAAAGATGGGAGGCATCTGTGATGCAGAGACCTTTGTAACTGACACCATTCCAAAGTCTAATACTAGATTGGCAGAGCTTCATTTAGCTCCTTCCACTTGGAAGGACATAAGGAGTGGTATGATGGATCAGGCTAAGTCTGAAATTGGAGGTTGGTGGCCTTAGGTGAGCTACCTTGTCCATTTTTCTGGTTAGGGCCAAGGGATTGGAAAGGTGGTGATGCAGCTAAATGAAAAGGAATCTATTTACAATATTTATATTCTACCCTTCTCACCTCAAAGGGGACTCAGAATAGATCACCTTATTGGTGCCCTAAATACCTCCCCGCTTTAAAGCGATACCCATTTATCTACTCAATGAGCCCACAGTGGTGCAGTGGGTTAAACTAGGGCTGGGCAACCACGGAAAAAATTGTTTCTAAACTCGATTCGTTTTTTGGGGTTTTTTGCGTTTCGATATTTAAAAGAATTCCGAAATTTTTCTTTAAAAAAGTTCGATATTTACGAAATTTCGTAAAATTACGAAACAATACGAAACGAATACGAATCGATTCGTTAATGGCGGACGCGACCGCGCAATACGCTAAAAAACCTCCATATGGGACAGGGGGAACTTTTGAAGCTTCCCTCTCCCTCTGTTGTTGACTGTTGGTGTGATATTTATAATTTTTTTTCACTGATTAAACAAACAACAGCTATAAAACTTGCCCCAGACATGCGGAAATAATAACGAAACGATTTCGAAACGATTTCGAAACGAATACGAAACGAATACGAAGCAATTACGAAACGAATTGAAAAATTCGTTTCGTTTTTTAGATGCTCCTGAATGGTTCAATATCGCTTCGTTATCAAGAAAAATGAATTTTTTAACGAATTACGAAATTACGAAACGAAACCGCCTACCATAGGTTAAACCACTGAGCTGCTAAACTTGTTGACCGAAAGGTCACAGATTCGAATCCAGGGAGCGGCATAAGCTTCCGCTGTCAGCCCCAGCTTCTGCCAACCTAGCAGTTCAAAAACATGCAAATGTGAGTAGAGCAATAGGTACCATTCCATCGTGAAAATAATGGCACTCCATGCAGTCATGCTGGCCACATGACTTTGGAGGTGTCTATGGACAACGCTGGCTCTTCAGCTTAGAAATGGAGATGAGCACCACACCCCAGAGTCGGACACAACTGGACTTAATGTCAGGGGAAAACCTTTACCTTTTATTTATCTACTCACAATTGCTGTTTTCGATCTGCTAGGTAGGCAGAAGCTAGGCTGAAGGCCAGGAACTCACCCTGACCCAGGCTTCAAATTGTCAACTTTTTGGTTGGCAAGATTTATTGAAGCTGGCAGTTACCCTGCGGTGCTAAAGCCCAGAACAAGGTTCTTCTCCCAATGTATCTAACTAGAGCTTCATCAAACTGTATTGCTTCCTTTCTTTAATGGGTTAGAAACCTATCCAGCAGACTATATTTAACCAATTTACAGTGAGTCACACTGAGAGGGATTGACAAGAACTGGATTAGTAGTCTTGTGATGGACAACAATTAGATGCTGTCCTTGAAGACTACTCAATTTCTTATTTTGGTCCATACAGTCAGGTATAAGCTTGTTTGATCCACACACAAAAAAGGTCAAAACTTGTTTTGGATATAGGGGCACTGGTGGTTCGATTCGGAAGTCAATTCCGATTTTCACAGGAAAAAAAATTCAAAACTTTTTGAAACTTCGGAGACTTCTGAATCCTTCCTTAATGGTTTGAAAGTGTTATTTCCTGTTTCATTAGGTGGTCTTTACTTTGAAAGTAGTTGTTTTACTCCAGAAGAGGGGGAAGCAAAGGGAGGAAATTCATCCACTCTGGTTTAAAACACTTCCCAGGCTCGAGACCAGAAGTGAGGGGAGAGAAAAGGCAGGAAATCCATCCAGTTTGTTTTAAAATGCTTCCCAGGTTGGAGATCAGAAGCGAGGGGAGAGGAAAGGCAGGAAATTCATCCAGTCTGGTTTAAAACACTTCCCAGGCTGGAGACCAGAAGCGAGGGGAGTAGAAACCAAATCCTTTCATTAATGGTTTGAAAGTGTTATTTCCTGTTTCATTAGGTGGTCTTTACTTTGAAAGTAGTTGTTTTACTCCAGAAGAGGGGGAAGCAAAGGGAGGAAATTCATCCACTCTGGTTTAAAACACTTCCCAGGCTCGAGACCAGAAGTGAGGGGAGAGAAAAGGCAGGAAATCCATCCAGTTTGTTTTAAAATGCTTCCCAGGCTGGAGATCGGAAGCGAGGGGAGAGGAAAGGCAGGAAATTCATCCAGTCTGGTTTAAAACGCTTCCCAGGCTCGAGACCAGAAGTGAGGGGAGAGAAAAGGCAGGAAATCCATCCAGTTTGTTTTAAAATGCTTCCCAGGCTGGAGATCGGAAGCGAGGGGAGAGGAAAGGCAGGAAATTCATCCAGTCTGGTTTAAAACGCTTCCCAGGCTCGAGACCAGAAGTGAGGGGAGAGAAAAGGCAGGAAATCCATCCAGTTTGTTTTGAAATGCTTCCCAGGTTGGAGATCAGAAGCGAGGGGAGAGGAAAGGCAGGAAATTCATCCAGTCTGGTTTAAAACACTTCCCAGGCTCGAGACCAGAAGTGAGGGGAGAGAAAAGGCAGGAAATCCATCCAGTTTGTTTTAAAATGCTTCCCAGGCTGGAGATCGGAAGCGAGGGGAGAGGAAAGGCAGGAAATTCATCCAGTCTGGTTTAAAACGCTTCCCAGGCTCGAGACCAGAAGTGAGGGGAGAGAAAAGGCAGGAAATCCATCCAGTTTGTTTTGAAATGCTTCCCAGGTTGGAGATCAGAAGCGAGGGGAGAGGAAAGGCAGGAAATTCATCCAGTCTGGTTTAAAACACTTCCCAGGCTCGAGACCAGAAGCGGGGGGAGGGAGCTGAATCATTTCCGACTCACTTACTGCTTCGTAACAGAAATGGCGGAAAAAGCTTCAGAAGGGCAACAGGACTTCCAATTTCCTTAAAAACTTCAAAATCACATCAAAAAGCAAATCTTTCCGAATTTATTCCGAATTACGAAGATTCCGACCGACCCTAACCATCCCTAGTCAGGTAGTTTGGCTCAGATTAGAAAAGAAACCACATAAGAACTTGAAGTTTTGTGCCGTTTCAGAATACAGCTGTTTATTCAGAACTGGGGAAATCCACATTCGGAGACAAGTAACTATAGATGTTTGTGTGACACCACAAACCCAGTTGTATCAACCAAGGGGGCAAGATGCACAAAGAGAATTAGAAACATTAGATGTACATAAGCAGAGACATGGATAGACACAAGGACCGACCACATTGACATGAGGTCAGGAAAGGAACATCCAAGCTCTTTGTGCATATTTTCCCTTTAATCCGATTAGGTGAATCCAATGGAAGACAGAGAACAAATGAACATCAAGGCTTACTACCAGCATGTTTAATATTGCATGGCGAGGAGAGTGGTATCTTTTTGTTTTTCCTTTATAGAGGTTGCTTGGGGGTCCTTGGAGAGTCACTACACCTCTACCCATATCTTTGGATTGGATTGTGTCTCACGCTTAACCTCTTGGTGCATTTTTCTTCTTTTGGATAGTTAACCAACTCTTTCCCCTTCTTTGGATTGGTGGCTGAAACCTTCACATCCTAATCTGATGCGGCAGACCCTTCCGGAGTTTCCCTTCTGCTTCCTTGGCAATCTCTCATATTTCTCCTCCTTTCTTTTTTCCCTCCCTTCCAATTTCAGAAGCAGAGCCAGAAGTGGACAACCTGTTGGTGTCCGATGCTACACCACATGGCTTCCGTCTTTCTTGGACAGCAGACGACGGCGCCTTTGATAGTTTTGTTCTTAAAATCAGGGCTGCCAACATACTCTCAGACCCTCTGGAGCTCATTGTGCCAGGCCACGAACGCACCCAGGACATAATAGGGCTGAAGGAAGGCATGGAGTATTACATTGATCTCTATGGAGTTACCAGTGGACGGCGTTCGCAACCCATAAATGCAATAGCCACGACAGGTATTGTTTGCATCTAGTGTGATACGGAAGGAAAAAGGCATGATCCATCCACATGCATGTCTGTTTGTGTGCATATGTCTTCCACATCTCTCTCTCTCTCTCTACTTAGTGGTTTGGAGTGCAACCTGCAGGTCCAGCCTACTGGAAAAGATGGCACATACTTTCACGATTCTTTTATCCACCTCCATTTCTCATTATGTGAGCCCATTGTGCACTTTGGGAGCTCTAGGGATCCTATTTGGGAGCTCTAGGGATCCTATAAGCCAGTGTTTCTCAACCTTCCTAATGCCGCAACCCTTTAATACCGTTGTGGTGACCCCCAACCATAACATTATTTTGGTTGCTACTTCACAACTGTAATTTTGCTACTGTTATGAATCGTCATGTAAATATCTGAGATGCAGGATGTATTTTCAGTCACTGGACCAAATTTGGCACAAATACCCAATACGTCCAAATTTGAATACTGGTGAGGTTGAGTGGGAATTGATTTCGTCATTTGGGAGTGGTAGTTGCTGGGATTTATAGTTTACCTATAAGAGCATTCTGAACTCCACCAATGATGGAATTGAACCAAACTTGGCACACAGAACTCCCATGACCAATAAAAAATACTGGAAGGGTTTGGTGGGCATTGACCGTAACTTTTGGAGTTGTAGTTCACCTACATCCAGAGAGCACTGTGCTCAAACATTTATTTATTTTTTTATTTATATTATTTATTTATATTTAGACCATTTCTACCCCGCCCTTCTCACCCCCAAGGGGGGACTCAGGGTGGCTAACACAGGCAACAATTCAATGCCAACAGTATCAAAACAACAATATAAAACAGCAATATAAAATCAATTACATAACAATTAAACAGTGATATTAATTAAAATTACATAATCAGATAGAACAAATCATATTTATTTATTTACTATATTTATATGCCGTCCCTCTCAGCCCGCAGGTGACTCGGAGCGGTTCATAAAATTGTATTTTATGGTCTTGGTACCCACTGTGAACCACTCCGAGTTTAAAATATTATAAAACCATAGCAAAATTAATAACAAACATATATCATTAGCTTCTCCTTACTGAAAACATTGGTCAATGACATCATCTAATCATTCCATTTCCTATGTCAGTCACACTATACTTGCAAACACTTGCTCAAAAAGCCAAGTCTTGACTTTCCTCGGAATGTTAAAAGGGAGGGGGCCGATCTAATATCCCCAGGGAGGGCATTCCATAGCCGAGGGGCCACCACTGAGAAGTCCCTTTCTCTCGTCGATGCCAGCCGTGCTTGTGACAAGGGCTTCCCCAGACAATCTTAAAGTCCTCGAAGATTCATAAGGGGAGATGCATTCGGACAGGTAAATTGGGCCAATGATGGATCTGTAGTGTACCAAAGATGGCACAAATACTCAATATGCCCAAATGTGAACACTGGTGGAGTTTGGGGGAAATAGACCTTGACATTTGGGAGTTGTAGTTGCTGGGATTTATAGTTCACCTACAATCAAAGGACATTCTGAACCCCACCAAAGATAGAATTGGGACTAACTTCCTACAAAACCCCCATGACCAACATAAAATAATGTGTTTTCTGATGATCTTGGGTGACCCCTTTGACACCCCCTTGCAATGCCCCCAGGCGTCCCAACCCCCAGGTTGAGAAACACTGCTATAAACCAACCAGAGCACACCAAGTTTTCATGGCCAACAAGAGATTCAAACCCTGAACTCAGGAGTCAAAGTCTAACACTCAAGCCATGTCATCATGTCACCAGTTTTCTTGTCCTTAACAAGAATTTGAGGAAGAGCCATTGGAAATATGGGAAGAGTCTCCCATTATTACAACATTTCCCCACTCGCTTCCAATTTTGTTATTGAATTTTAACTGGCACATCTCCACAGAAGCTTTTAATTGTGGTTTTGCTTCTGGTCTTTGTCTTTTAGTTGCTAATGGATATCTCTTGTGTGGGCTGTTTATTTTCTTTAAAAATGGTCTTTCCAAAGAATAATCAGAGTTGTTTTCGTGGCTGCTGGTGGGACGAAAGAGTATTTACAACTCAAAGCTTGGATGTAAACTCTGCAGTGCCAGATTTTGTCTGGATGCTGGAAAACTCTTCTCCTCAGCTTGATGAGTTGATGGCCTGCAATAAATTTCAAACGATGGCCAGAAAACCAAAACAAAACACAAGCTCTTAGCTTAAAAACTTGTAAACTTGAGTGGTTTTGTTTTGCATATGGTTTCATCATTAGCCTCAAGGATGCAACAATCACAAAAGAAGAAGAAGGTTGTCTATACAAATCACATAGGGGATGAGATTCCTCACCACAAAATATTTTGAAACTGTATGAATCCATAGCTATGTTGCCAAAATACAACAAAAACATGTAAATGGCATATCCATTAGAGTTGTGCACGGAATTCCTTCCTACCATTTCTTTCGTGTCTTCCATTTCTTTGGGAGCACGAAACACGGAGCCCCCTCCCCACATGAAAATCCGCTCAACACAAAAGCCTGCTTTTGTCTGCATCTGACTTGCCTCCTTACCTTGGAAAGAGAGTGCAGGTGTGCTCTGGGCCTGCCTGCATACTCCACCACTCACACACTCTAGAAGAGTGTGCAGGAGATGTGTGGCAGGGTGTGCAGGCAGGCCTGGAGAATACCTCCATCTAAGTGCCTGTTACTCTAGAGTAAGAGGTGCTCGGCTGCAGGTACTGGCAGGCGTGCTTTCTGAGCCTGCATACACACCACACTACACATGCCCTCTTTTTCCAAGGAGAGCACGTGTGTGGCATGGCATGCAGGCAGGTCCAGAAAGCGCACCTGCCAATACCTGCAGCTGAGCGCCTCTTACTCTAGAGTAAGAGGGGTCTTGACTGCAGGCATACTTGCTTTCTGAGCCTGCATGCCCACTCCACTACACATGCCCTCTTTTTCCAAGGAGAGCACATGTGTGGCATGGCATGCAGGCAGGTCCAGAAAGCACGCGCACCTGCCAATACCTGCAGCTGAGCACCTCTTACTCTAGAATAAGAGGCTCTTGACTGCAGGCATACTTGCTTTCTGAGCCTGCATGCCCACTCCAATACACATGCCTTCTTTTTTCCAAGGAGAGCACTGTGTGACATGGCATGCAGGCAGGTCCAGAAAGCACGCGCACCTGCCAATACCTGCAGCTGAGCACCTCTTACTCTAGAATAAGAGGCTCTTGACTGCAGGCATACTTGCTTTCTGAGCCTGCATGCCCACTCCAATACACATGCCTTCTTTTTTCCAAGGAGAGCACTGTGTGACATGGCATGCAGGCAGGTCCAGAAAGCACACGCAGCTGCCAATACCTGCAGCTGAGCGCCTCTTACTCTAGAGTAAGAGGTGCTCGGCTGCAGGCACTGGCAGACACACATGCTTCCTGAGCCTGCATGCACACTCCACTACACATGCCCTCTTTTTCCAAGGAGAGGACGTGTGTGGCATGACATGCAGGCAGGTCCAGAAAGCACACGCACCTGCCAATACCTGCAACTGTGCCCACTAGCCAAAAGCCTGGTTCCAAAACCACGATTTTAGTTTTTTTCTGAAGGAAAGGAGGGAGGATGCCAATCTAATCTCTCTGGGGAGCGAATTCCACAAGCGGGGGGTCACCACCGAGAAGACCCTGTCCCTCATCCCAACCAGACGTGTTTGCAAGGCTGGTGGAACCGAGAACAGGGCCTCCCGGGTGGATCTTAAACTATGAGGCAGAGCGTAGAGGGAAATACGTTCGGATAAGTAAGCTGGGCCGGAACCATATAGGGCTTTATGGGCCAAGACCAGCACTCGGAAGTGGACCAGCAGCCAGTGGAACTGACATAACGGGGGTGGTGCGCTCCTGACTTCTGTCAGGATTGACTTATTTATGCTGTTTATTATTTTCCCCCTCTGCCTACTGTCCCTAAGAAAAGTGTTTCAGAGCCTAAGGGCATCCATCGAGAAGACTCTACCTCATAGGCATGGCTATGAAGAGGATGAGAGTGAGAAAAGCTTCTCTCCTTAAGATTTCAAAACCCTGCCCGGTCCACACCTTGCTTGTCAAAGAAAATCAAATATTGCACATTTTGCGATAACGTCTGTGATCCAAGGAAAGGATAGGATGCGTGCATGAAGGTTGTTTCCCCTTGGTGTGTCTTTGGGTGGAGCGTGGGTTAAAACTGCAAGATTATTGTCAAAATTAAATGCTTGAACATAATGAGAAATGGAAGCCTTTGAGTTATGGATCTTTCCATTCTAGTCGTGACACTGAACCCAAATATTTATTGTAGCTTTAACGTCTGGAAGGAAACCAGAGACCAAACGCCTTCCTCTCCTTCCCAGTTGGGCTGATGGACTCAAGTTCTAATAATGCTTTCTTTATCTTTTGTGTCCCTGTCTTTCTCCTTGGCTAGCCATGGGATCACCCAAGGATATCACATTCTCAGATATCACTGAAAACTCAGCGATGGTCAGCTGGACTGCTCCAGTGGCTCGTGTGGACAGCTACCGGCTTACCTACGTTCCAGTAACAGGAGGTAAGGGAGAGGTGGTTGTTCCTTCCCTCAAGCTCTATCTATGCCATAGAATTAATGCAGTTTGACACCACCTTGACTGTCATAACTCAATAATGGAATGATTATTGGGCCCGGTCCTCTTCAACATTTTTATTAATGACTTAGATCAGTGGTTCTCAACGTTCCGAATGCCGTGACCCCTTAATACAATTTTGCATGTTGTGGTGACCCCCAACCATAAAATTATTTTCGTTGCTACGTCACAACTGTCATTTTGCTACTGTTATGGATCTTAATGTAAATATCTGATATGCAGGATGTATTTTCATTCACTGGACCAAACTGGGCACAAATACCTGATATGCCCAAATACTGGTGGGGTTGGAGGTAGGCTGATTTTGTCATTTGAGAATTGTAGTTGCTGGGATTTATAGTTCACCTGCAATCAAAGAGCATTCTGAACTCCACCAACAATGGAATTGGGCTAAACTTGGCACACAGAACTCCCATGACTAACAGAAAATACTGGAGGGAGGGATTTGGTGGGCATTGACCTTGAGTTTTGGAGTTGTAGTTCACCTACATCCAGAGACCATTGTGGACTCAAACAATGATGGATCTGGACTAAACTTGGCACGAATACTCAATATGACCAAATGTGAACACTAGTGGAGTCCTTGACATTTTGGGAGTTGTAGTTGCTGGAATTTATAGTTCACCTACAATCAAAGAGAATTCTGAATGCCACCAATGATAGAATTGGGCCAAACATCCCACACAGAACTCCCATGACCAACAGAAAACACTGTGTTTTCTGATGGTCCTTAGTGACCCCTCTGACACTCCCTTGTGACCCCTCCAGGGGTCCCGACCCCCAGGTTGAGAACCACTGACTTAGATGAAAGGCTAGAAGGCAGGATCATCAAGTTTGCAGACGACACCAAATTGGGAGGGAGAGCCAAGACTCCAGAGGACAGGAGCAGAATTCAAAACAACCTTGACAGATTAGAGAGATGATTGGCCAGAACTAACAAAATGAAGTTCAACGGGGACAAATGCAAGATACTCCACTTAGGCAGAAAAAACAAAATGCAAAGAATGGGGGGTGCCTGGCTTGAGAGCAGTACGTGTGAAAAAGATCTTGGAGACCTCGTGGACAACAAGTTAAACATGAGCCAACAATGTGATGTGGCGGCAAAAAAAGCCAATGGTATTTTGGCCTGCATCAATAGGAGCATAGTGTCTAGATCTAAGGAAGTAATGCTACCCCTCTATTCTGCTTTGGTTAGACCACACCTGGAATATTGTGTCCAATTCTGGGCACCACAATTCAAGAGAGATATTGACAAGCTGGAATGTGTCCAGAGGAGGGTGACTAAAATGATCAAGGGTCTGGAGAACAAGCCTATGAGGAGCGGCTTAAGGAGCTGGGCATGTTTAGCCTGAAGAAGAGAAGGCTGAGAGGAGATATGATAGCCATGTATAAATATGTGAGAGGAAGCCACAGGGAGGAGGGAGCAAGCTTGTTTCTGCTTCCTTGGAGAGACACTGAACAATGGCTTCAAACTACAAGAGAGGAGATTCCATCTGAACATGAGGAAGAACTTCCTGACTGTGAGAGCCGTTCAGCAGTGGAACTCTCTGCCCGGAGTGTGGTGGAGGCTCCTTCTTTGGAAGCTTTTAACAGAGGCTGGATGGCCATCTGTCAGGGGTGATTTGAATGCAATATTCCTGCTTCTTGGCAGAATGGGGTTGGACTGGATGGCCCATGAGGTCTCTTCCAACTCTTTGATTCTATGATTCTATGATTCTATGATGGGAGTTGTAATTTGGTGAGGCACCCATACTCTTTAGCAGAGAAGCCATACCGTCCCACCTTGCTAAAGTTGGCAGGACATGCAGTCCTCAAGTTACGAACAAGATAGGTTCTGTGGGTTTGTTCTTAAGCTGAATTTTTTTGTAAGTTGGAAGAGGTACATTATTTATTTATTTACACCATTTCTACCTCGCCCTTCTCACCCCCGAGGGGGGACTCAGGGCAGCTAACACACACAACAATTCAATGCCAACAGTATTGATAACAACAATATAAACCAACAATATAAAATCCTATTACATAACAATTAAACAGTGATGTTAATTAAAATTATATAATCACATAAAACAAATCACAGTCACATAATCAGGAGGCTCCGGTGGTGCAGTGGGTTAAACCCCTGTGCCAGCAGGACTGAAGACCACAGGTCACAGGTTCAAATCCGGGGAGAGACGGATGAGCTCCCTCTATCAGCTCCAGCTCCTCATGCGGGGACATGAGAGAAGCCTCCCACAAGGATGATAAAAACATCAAATCATCCGGGCGTCCCCTGGGCAACGTCCTTGCAGATGGCCAATTCTCTCACACCAGAAGCGACTTTCAGTTTCTCAGGTCGCTCCTGACACGACCAAAAAAAACATAATCACAAGTCATATGGCCGTTTCCAATTTTCATAACAATCCTATTGTCCGAATTCAGTGCCTAAAGTGCTGCTATGCCCACTAGCCAAAGGCCTGGCTCCAAAACCACGTCTTTAGTTTTTTTCCTAAAAGTAAGGAGGGAGGACGCCGATCTAATCTCACTGAGGAGCAAATTCCACAAGCGAGGGGGGGTCACCACCGAGAAGGCCCTGTCCCTCGTCTCCACCAGACACGTTTGAGAAGCTGGTGGGACCTAGAGCAGGGCCTCCCCAGTAGATCTTAAATTACAAAGTGGAACGTAGAGAGAGATACGTTCGGATAAGTAAGCTGAACCGGAGCCGTATAGGGTTTTATAGGCCAAGACCATTTTTAAGTGGAACTCCATCCAAATATATATATTGTTCAGCTTTGGATGGCACAGGGAAGGGTTTCCTTTTGCTGCCTGTGTCCCTGTTATAATAATAATAATAATAATAATAATAATAATAATAATAATAATAATAATAATAATAATAATCGAACTGCAAAGGCTCTGGCATAAACCAGTCCAAGTGTCCCAGTGGTCATTGGCGCACTGGGTGCTGTGCCAAAAGATCTCAGCCGGCATTTGGAAACAATAAACATTGACAAAATCACGATCTGTCAACTGCAAAAGGCCACCTGACTTGGATCTGCGCGCATCATTTGAAAATACATCACACAGTCCTAAATGCTTGGGAAGTGTTCAACTTGTGATTTTGTGATACGAAATCCAGCATATAGATCTCGTTTGCTGTGACATACTGTGCTTTTGTGTCAATAATAATAATAATAATAATAATAATAATAATAATAACAACTACGACAACAACACACAGTCCTAGATGCTTGAGAAGTGTTCGACTTGTGATTTTTTGATATGAAATCCAGTATATAGATCTCGTTTGCTGTGACATACTGTGCTTTTGTGTCAGTAAAATAATAATAATAATAATAATAATAATAATAATAATAATAAAAACTTTATTTATACCCCGCCACCATCTCCCCAAGGGGACTCAGGGCGGCTTACATGAGGCCAAACCCAACAATACAGCAATGCAAATAAACAACATACAATGACAATAAAATATAAAAAATAAAAATAAAATATAAAATACCATATAAATAAGCACATCTAACAATGTAAAATCACAATAATTTAAACACCAAAAATAAATCACAATGGGCAGGGCCAGTAGAAAAGATTAAAAGTTTAAAACACTGGGTGAGAAGGCAATGTAATGTATCGGTCATTCAACCCAACTATCACACTCAGGGAGCAAGAAGACATACAGAGATGTATGCTATACAAACCTATCACTGCAATTTGCTGGCCAACTTGCTTCTTATCATCCAATTAATAGACATCAGACAGTTGTTTCTACTTCAGTAGCGGCTCTTTTTTTATTTACATTTCATTCCTTGCAATAACACTTACTCGTTAGCACAGTCAGATGCAAGAGAGAAGAGCAAAAAGAAAAACATATGATGTCTGCTATATTTATACCCCACTATTATCAGCTCATTAATTCCGTGTCCAGCCTCCTAGCGTATTGCAACATCTTCCTTATCTGTTCCACACATGCTTCATAATATTCCACAAATTAATTCTTTCACAGCTAACAGCATGGGCATTTTTTCTTGTACAATATATATATTGACCTCAGACAGTTGTTTCTACTTCAGTAGCGGCTCATATTTTTATTTACATTTCATTCCTTGCAATAACACTTACTCGTTAGCATAGTCAGATGCAAGAGAGAAGAGCAAAAAGAAAAACTCAGTGTAGGATCTTTGCCTATGTAATGTATTCCATGTGTTTCAATATCGGTCTATTCCAGGTCCTTCCACTTCTGTGACAGTAGATGGAAACAAGAGCAGGACCAGACTAGCCAGGCTGATTCCTGGTGTGGAGTACACTGTCAGCATTATCTCAGTCAAAGGGTTTGAGGAAAGCGAGCCTGTTTCTGGATCTTTCACTACAGGTATGTTCTCAGGGAAAAGGAGGACCAGTTGGACCACCAGCAGATTCTGTCTTAAGAAACTGAAGCTGGCATTCTGCTTGAGACTTATGCCTTCATAAATGATCTTGCACCAATGCACCAATGCACCAATACAATAGGGAGCACTCTGTGGAAACCAGGGAGGCAGGCCTTCCCCACTGCACTTCAGGCCGCCGCACTTCCAGGATCTGTGGAGGCCAGGGAGGCAGGCCTTCCCAGCCGTGCCTCAGGCTGCCACACTTCCGGGGTCCCTGGCCTCCACTGGACATAAATATTTTAGATTTTATATTAATATCTTCAAAAACCCGCAAGTGAACCGCGAAGTAGCAAGGGAACACTGTATGTCGGCATTTTCCCCAACTTCAGCGTCCTGGAGGTTGTGCTCGATTCCGGCCACAGGGGTGTGCTGTTGCTCCATCCTCCATAACAAAGAGCCCTTGATCACAGACTTCCTCCTTCCTTAGATCACCAGCATTTTCTGGTAACTCCTTTTTATGGCGCCGTAAAATACCTCCTCGTTTAAGTGGTGCCTAATTTTTTAACCACAGCTTTTAGCTGTTTTCAAGTTGCTTAGGTGGACAGTGAGTTGGGCTGAATGTCGGCTGTTCACCTCAACCCAGGACTTTGAACTGCCAACCTAAGCCACTTCTCAGAGGTGTGTGTGTATATATGTTGATTTATGATGAGTCCCATACATTAAATATTCAAATGGATTGTCGAAGACTTTCATGGCCAGAACCACTGGGTTGTTGTAGGTTTTTTCGGGCTATATGGCCATGGTTTAGAGGCATTCTCTCCTGACGTTTCACCTGCATCTATGGCAAGCATCCTCAGAGGTAGTGAGGTGAGGTCACATCAGGAGAGACTGCCTCTAGACCATGGCCATATAGCCCGAAAAAACCTACAACAACCTATTCAAATGGACTTGGAAGTATCTCCATGGACATCAGTGTCCATTGCACTCTATTCCCTACCAATGTGCAATGGAGTACCTTACATTTTAACCTCTTGGCAGCATGTGGATGAATGTAGATGTTGCAAAACTACTCAGGTCTCTTTCCTGAGCATGGAAATTTCGCCCAAGTCCCATGGTAACTTCTAAACAACTTGGGAAAATGGCAAAAACCACTCATAGCCTCACCCAGCAGAGAGGAAACTTGGGATCCTTTTTGTCCTTACATGGGGGAATGAAATGGATAGGATTTATGAGCACCGACGGAAATGTGACGGGTGTTTCCAGAGGGAATTCCAAGCCTATGAAGACAACATGAAAGGCAGAGCAGAACCATCTCAGGGAGAAGGGAACGTGGGAGATATCACAGACTCCTGCACAAAAGTGTCCGCAAGATAAATTCTGTTTTGTGAACATCTTTTCCTTAACCACAGAAGAGCCCTCTCGACACCCAGGGGTTGACAAAAGGTTGACAAAAGCATGTTTTATTTTGCCTTCAGTTCAATCTTTCCCATCCTAAATTCAGCTGTGAGTTGTTGTTTTCTCATGGCTGGAATGGAGAGCCGTGAAAGATGAATGACACCACATTCTCGATCTCAAAGCCAGTAGTTCCCTCATAACATTGCAATATAATCCATTTTGCTTTGTTTCGACATGCATTTAACGTTCAAAATAATCTCTGGAATGACCTCTTATTCCAACGCTATAACTCTTATCCATGTGTTAGGAGGGCTGCCTTCCAGTGTTTGTCTCCTCTTCAGTTTAGCACATTACGGACAGCCAAGAAATAACAGAGATTGTGTGAGTATTTATTTTCCACAATGGAAAGTTGGGACACATAGTCAGCTGTTGTCAGTCAGCCAGAGTTAGATGACCAAGGCATTTATTTTGTCCATTGCTCAATAAGTATGTTTATTTACTTAGGCAATCCCTCATTGTCAGGGTATGGTGGCCTTCCATATCCATCGCCAAGTGTAGTGTCTTGGCGATGGATAGATAGGTGTCTGTAGAGCCCTATTTTTGTAAGCGTTTTCAGATGGAAGGCGGTCCTGGTCAGGGTTGGCTTGAAGTGCCTTCTTGGCACTTTCTTCCTTTTGCCTTCCATTCATGCGTCTTCAAATTCCACATCACTGCTGGTCACAGCTGACCTCCAGTTAGAGCACTCAAGAGCCAGAGCTTCCCAGTTCTCAGTGCCCATGCCACAGTTTTTAAGGTTGGTTTAAAACCCATCTTTATTTATTTATTTATTTACTAGCCATCCCCTGCCACGCGTTGCTGTGGCCCAGTCTGGTGATCTGGGAAATAAAGTAATGAGAAAGTGTTGGTTTCTAATATAAGTACATAACATCGGTGAAGAATAGGTAAATGAGTAATACATTCGTTTATGTCTTCTGTCTCTCTAGCCCTGGATAGCCCGTCGGGACTAAAGGCTGTAAACATCACAGAATCTGAAGCATTGGCTGTCTGGCAACCAGCAATAGCTGCAGTAGATGAATATGTGATTTCCTACATTACTGATGGTGGTAAGTCATATTGCGCCTGATGAGTCTAAGGCCCCTTCCGCACAACTGAATCAAATCCCACATTATATCATTTGAACTGGAATATATAGCAGTGTGGACTCAGATAACCCAGTTCAAAGTAGATATTGTGGGATTTCCTGCCTTGATATTCTGGGCAATATGGGTGTGTATTGTTATTGTTTATTTTTTAAATTCTTAAACTATTACATTTGGCCCAGCCACAGGTTTTTAAATCCTTGTGTGTTACTGTTTATTGGTTATTGTTTATTTGTGATTTATATTAATTGTATTGTATTTATTGTTTTTTGTTTATTGCTTTTTGTTTTGATTGATGTGTTGTTGGGCTTGGCCTCATGTAAGCTGCTCCGAGTCCCTTGGGGAGATGGTGGCGGGGTATAAATAAAGATTGTTGTTGTTGTTGTTGTGTGGAAGGGCCCTTAATTGTTTACTTATGTTGATTTGCTCCTCCTTTTTTTGTTCAGCACCGGAAGTGACGCAGAGAGTCTCTGGAAATACGGTGGAATATGATCTCTTAGACCTTCGCCCAGCCTCTGAGTACACACTCAAGATTTACGCCATTAAAGATTCACAGAAAAGTAGAATCATCTCCACCAAGTTTACTACAGGTATGGTGGTCAGGGCTCCCATCCAAGTACAATCACGGCTGGCCCTGCTCAGCTTCCAAGATAAGACAGGATCTCCTTCCTTCCTTCCTTCCTTCCTTCCTTCCTTCCTTCCTTCCTTCCTTCCTTCCTTCCATTTTTTTGGACATCTCAATAGAAGGAGAACATAATCAGCCCCATTGTGAATTGTTGGTCCAACTTAAATGACCTCTGACACAATTTGAAATTAGCTGAAGCTTTTTACATAAATGGAAACCACATTCCAAGTTCTCCCCAAATGAAATCTTGCATCTCTCCTAATTATTAAATGAAAATGTATATGATACATCACAAGTGTGATTTGGATGTGTTTATCCCTTTACATCTACTCTGTAGTTCCCATAGCACATGTGCATCGGAAGGATTTACCTATATCCTTTTTGTGTGTTCTTGACAGCTCTTGATACTCCAAGGGACCTGACCACCACTGATGTCCAGTCTGAAACAGCACTGGTGAAATGGAAGCCTCCCCGTGCGCCAGTCACAGGTTACCTCCTCATCTACGAGTCCATTGATGGCAAGCTCAAGGTAAGCAATAGATCCAATCTGACAGTCTACAGGACAAGGACAATGCTTGGTGTGCATGTATCCCCATGTTCAACCCTGAACATCTTCAAGTTGGGTTAGAACAGTGTTTCTCAACCTAGGGGTCGGGACACCTAGGGGAGTCACGAGTGGGTGTTAGAGAGGTCACCAAAGACCATCAGAAAACAGTATTTTCTGCTGGTCATGGGGGTTCTGTGTGGGAAGACTGGCCCAATTCTATCATTGGTGAGGTTCAGAATGCTCTTTGATTGTAGGTGAACTATAAATCCCAGCATCTACAACTCCCAAATGTCAAGGTCTATTGTCCCCAAATTCCACCAGTGTTCACATTTGGGCATATTGAGTATTTGTGCCAAGTTTGGTACAGATCTATCATTGTTGCAGTCCACAGTTCTCTCTGGATGTAGATGAACTATAACTCCCAAACTCAAGGTCAATGCCCACCAAACCTTTATAGTGTTTCCTGTTGGTCATGGGAGTTCTGTGTCCCTGAAATCACAGGTTCACAGCTTGGGAGTTCTCCTTGGTTCTTCACTGAGCCTGGAACCCAGCGGTGGCCAGGGACCTGGGGTTCCAGGCACCAGCTGTGCCCATGCCTTGAGAAGTCAGACTTGGTCACAATAGTCCACACTCGAATAGACTACTGCAATGCACTCTACATGGGGTTGCCTTTGAAGACTGTTTGGCAGCTTCAAATGGTCCAATCGATGGCAGCTAGACTGCTCACCGGAGCAGCATACAAGGAACATACAACCCTCCTGTATGTCAGCTCCATTGCACCATTCAACATGCTGGCTTTAGCTTATAAAGCCCTAAATGGTTCTGGCCCAGTTTATCTGTCCAAACATATATGTTCAGTTCAGGTGCCAAGATCTTCCAGGGAGGCCCTGCTCTCAGTCCCGCCTTCTTTGCAGGTGCGAGTGGTGGGGACAAGGGACAGGGTCTTCTCAGTGGTGGCCCCTTAGCTGTGGAACTCCCTCCCCAGTGATATTAGATCAGCTTCCACAGCCAGTCAAAACCTGGCTGTGGAACCAGGAATTTGTGGAGTATCATAACCACTGTGCCATATACATCCACGGAGTTGATATAAACAATGCAGCTAGGGCTATGATTGTGGGATTAGATGCTATGTTTTAAATATTTTTAACAGTATTTTAATTGTATTTACATGCTTTATTTTGATTTTGAAGTTTAATATGTTGCGCATTTTGAAGTTTAATATGTTGCGCATTTGCATGCTTTTATATTACAATGTAGCATTAAATAATTGCCAAAACTGGAAGCTTCTCTGAGTCCCCTTCGGGGTGATATAGAGTGGGGTAGAAATACAATAAATGGGTTGTTGTAGGCTTTTTCGGGCTATATGGTCATGGTCTAGAGGCATTGTCTCCTGACGTTTCGCCTGCATCTATGGCAAGCATCCTCACTACCTCTGAGGATGCTTGCCATAGATGCAGGCGAAACATCAGAAGAGAATGCCTCTAGACCATGGCCATATAGCCCGAAAAAACCTACAACAACCCAGTGATTCTGGCCATGAAAGCCTTCGACAATACATCGATAAAATAAATCAATTAAATAAATAAATAAATTTTATATAGTCATGCCCATTGTAATGCTGTGGGAAGGATGCATCAAAATACATTATTAATTCAGTGGATGGAAATGGTTACATTAAAGTGCATGTACCTGCTGGGTTCACGCCTGGCATTTTAGCCACACTGCTTGAACTGTACCATATGAAACATTCATTTCCAGCCAACAGTCTCCTCCTTCTAGCAGGGAGATGGCATGAGTGGCTCCTATTAGGAATAGTGATGTCCTCATCAATCATTTAAATTATTTTCTTAGAGGCGCATGAATCATTCAGCCAAGGGCACCCAGACATTTTAAAACTGTAAGAGCATGTTTCCCATTGCCTGGTTCTTCCACCAAAAGTGGTCTTCCATTATTGATATTCTCTGCAGGAGGTGATCCTGGGACCCGAATCGACGTCCTACGGTTTGTCAGACTTGAGTCCGTCCACTCAGTACACTGTGAAGTTGCAGGCATTGAACCTGAACCTGAGAAGCAAGACCATCCAAACGGTTTTCACAACAAGTATGATATTTTTAGAAAATGCGAATCTCCATAACTATTTGGGAAATAGGATTCATAACCTTTTTGGGAAAGTACTGGTCAAGGAAAGGAATGACCTTATGTTCACCAGCATTCATGCAAGGCAACTTGGTTTCTCAGCTGTTAAATGGTTGTACCTGGGTATGTCTTTGAACTGCCAGGGACAAAGACATGCCAATGCACAAAAACACATCGTGGTTTAGTTTTGGTCAGGATATTATAGAACTGGAGAGACAGAAAGTAGGTTATGAAATGGAAGCAGGTAGCCAGATTATTAGCAATAGATTACATCCCATTTAAAGCTTCTAAAAATTGTTATTATTTTATTTATTTATTTATTTATTTGCTTTACTTCTATACCGCCTTTCTCAGCCGAAATGGCGACTCAAGGCGGTTTACATAGTAAAGGTTATCATAACAATATCAAAGAAGACAATTAAAAACACATTATACAAGATATACAGATCAAAACAATCATTATCATAAGCCTCAACAAACGAATCAGAATCAGAATCCGTAATCATAATCCTATACCAATTCCTATGTTCGGTTGTACCATCTTCATGAATTCATTGCACTATTTAGCCAAACGCTTGTTCGTAAAGCCAAGTCTTAACCTTCTTCCAGAATGCCAGCAGTGAAGGGGCCTGTCTGATGTCCACAGGTAGGGCGTTCCACAGCCGAGGGGCCACCACCGAGAAGGCCCTGTCCCTCGTCCCCGCCAACCGCGCCTGCGATGCAGGCGGGACCGAGAGCAGGGCCTCCCCAGATGATCTTAGTGTCCTGTCGGTTCATAGGAGGAGATGTGTTCGGAGAGGTAAGTAGGGCCAGAACCGTTTAGGGCTTTATAGGCTAAAGCCAGCACTTTGAATTGTGCCCGGTAGCAGATTGGCAGCCAGTGGAGCTGGCGCAGCAGAGGAGTGGTGTGCTCCCTGAGTGCCGTTCCTGTTAGCAACCTGGCTGCCGAACGTTGGACCATTTGAAGCTTCCGAGCAGTCTTCAAGGGCAACCCCACGTAGAGAGCGTTGCAGTAGTCTAAGCGGGATGTAACCAGAGCGTGGACTACCGTGGCCAAGTCAGACTTCCCAAGGTACGGGCGCAGCTGGCGCAGAGTTTTAACTGTGCGAATGCTCCCCTGGTCACCGCCGAAACCTGGGGTTCCAGGCTCAGTGATGAGTCCAGGATCACACCCAAACTGCGAACCTGCGTCTTCAGGGGAGTGCGACCCCATCCAACACAGGCTGTAACCCTATACCCTGTTCGGCCTTGCGACTGACCAGGAGTACCTCTGTCTTGTCTGGATTCAATTTCAATTTGTTCGCCCTCATCCAGACCGTCACAGCGGCTAAGCACCGGTTCAGGACCTGGACAGCCTCCTTAGAAGCAGGTGGAAAGGAGTGACAGAGTTGGACATCATCCGCGTACAGATGACACCGTACCCCGAAACTCCGGATGATCTCTCCCAGCAGCTTCATGTAGATGTTCAACAACATGGGAGACAATATTGACCCTGAGGAACCCCACAAGACAAAGGTTGTGGGGTTGAGCAGGTGTCTCCCAGTAACACCTTCTGAGATCGACCCTCTCGGAATAACCTGAGCCACTGTAGAACAGTACCTCCGAGACCCATCCCCGCGAGGCGTCCCAGAAGGATACCGTGGTCGACGGTATCGAAGGCCGCTGAGAGGTCGAGCAGCATCAACAGGGACACACTCCCCCTGTCGAGCTCCCGACGCAGATCATCCACTAAGGCGACCAAAGCTGTCTCGGTACCATGCCCCGGCCTAAAGCCAGACTGTGCCGGATCCAGATAATCCGTGTCTACCAAGAATACCTGGAGTTGTGAGGCCACCACACGTTCCAAGACTTTGCCCAAAAAGGGGAGATTGGAAACTGGCCGATAGTTGTCGAATTGAGTGGGGTCCAGTGATGGTTTTTTCAACAGCGGTTTTATTATAGCTTGTTTTAAGCTCGCTGGAATGATGCCTTCCCGAAGGGAGGCATTAACCACCACCTTCACCCACTCGGCCAATCCCCCTCTGGCTTCCTTCAAGAGCCAGGATGGACAGGGGTCCAGGATGCATGTGGTAGGCCTCATTCCTCCAAGTATCTTGTCCACATCCTCGGGTTTCACATTGGTTGTTCTACAGATGCATTTCTGGCCCAACTTACCTGTCCGAACGCATCTTGAACCGGTGCTTGGCTGCTGTGTCGGACTGGATGAGAGCTAACAAATTGAAATTGAATCCAGACAAGACAGAGGTCCTACTGGTCAGTCGTAAGGCCGAACAGGGCATAGGGTTACAGCCTGTTTCAGGGTTACACTCCCCCTGAAGACGCAGGTTCGCAGCTTGGGAGTGATCCTGGACTCATCGCTGAGCCTGGAATCCCAGGTCTCAGCGGTGGCTGGGAGAGCTTTTGCACAATTAAAACTTGTGCACCAGCTGCGCCCGTACCTTGGGAAGTCGGATCTGGCCACGGTGGTCCATGCTCTTGTTACATCCCGAATAGATTACTGCAACGCGCTCTACGTGGGGTTGCCTTTGAAGACTGTTCGGAAACTTCAATTAGTCCAGCGGGCGGCGGCCAGATTACTCACCAGAGCGTCATACAGGGAGCATACCACCCCCCTGCTCTGTGAGCTCCACTGGCTGCCGATCCAGTTCCGAGCACAATTCAAAGTGCTGGTTTTGACTTACAAAACCCTATGCGGCTCCGGCCCGGCGTACCTGTCAGAACGTATCTCCTTCTACGTCCCACCTCGGAGTTTAAGATCTGCTGAGGGGGCCCTGCTCTCGGCCCCACCTTTATCACAAGCGAGACTGGTGGGGACGAGGGACAGGGCCTGCTCGGTGGTGGCCCCTCGCCTGTGGAATGCGCTCCCCAGGGAAATTAGGACATCAACATCCCTCCTCTCCTTCAGAAGGAAGCTAAAAACCTGGATGTGGGACCAGGCCTTCGGGTAAGCTGGCAAATGGACAAAGACAGCCAATAACGACCAGAGTAGGAAAGGACAATGACGATGCTAAATGGCTTACGGACTTGAATTTGGTGAACATTGACCACAAGATGTTTTTATTGCTGCTAGTATACTGTCGATTGTTTTAATTAGTTATAACTGTGATTTTATATGGTAAATTTGTGTATTGTATATTGTATTGTATTTTGTAATTGTTAGGCATCAAATTGTGCCTTGTGTAAGCCGCCCTGAGTCCCCCCTCGGGGGTTGAGAAGGGCGGGGTAGAAGCACCCCAAATAAATAATAAAATAATAAATAAATAAATAAATCTCCTCCTATGAACCAGCTAGGACACTGAGATCGTATAACTATCACTACTGCTCACCAAAATATAATAATGCAGTGAGAGTAGTAGTAGAGAAGATTTTAAATAATTAGACGGGGAAATATATATTAAATAAATTCCACCGCTTGCTGCTCAGCCAAAATTATAAAGCACACACAAGGAAGAGGGAGTATGGTTGCTGAACCAATGGTATATTTAAAAGTTATGGTTCCCTCAATGTTCAATGACAGGCCAAGCTTCTCGTGTACTTCTGTTTAGAGTGGCTTGTAGATCTTCTTCTGAATGTGGCAAGCATCCTCACAACCTCTGAGGATGCTTGCCACAGTAGCAGGCGAAATGTCAGGAAACAATCCTTCTAGAACAGTGTTTCTCAACCTGGGGGTCGGGACCCCTGTGGGGGTCGCGAGGGGGTGTCAGAGGGGTCACCAAAGATCATCAGAAAACATAGTATTTTCTGTTGGTCATGGGGGTTCTGTGTGGAAAGTTTGGTCCAATTCTATCGGTGGGGTTCAGAATGCTATTTCATTGTGGGTGAACGATAAATCCCAACAACTACAGCTCCCAAATGGCAAGGTCTATTTTCTCCAAACTCTACCAGTGTTCACATTTGGGCATATTGAGTATTTGTGCCAAGTTTGATCCAGATCCATCATTGCTTGAGCCCACAATGTTCTCTGGATGTAGGTGAACTACAACTCCAAAAACTCAAAGTCAATGTCCACCAGACTTTCCCAGTATTTTCTTTTGGTCATGGGAATTCTTTGTGCCATGTTTGATTCAATTCCATCATTGCTGGAGTTCAGAAGGCTCTTTGATTTAAGGTGTACTATAAATCCCAACAACTCCAGCATTACGAATTGATAAAATCAACCACCCCCAACCCCACCAATATTCAAATTTTGGGTGTATCGGGTATATGTGCCAAATTTGGTCCAGTGACTGAAAATACATCCTGCATATTAGATATTTACATTACAATTCATAACAGTAGCAAAATTACAGTTATGAAGTAGCAACAAAAATAACGTTATGGTTGGGGGTCACCACAACATGAGGAACTGTACTAAGGGGTCGCGGCATTAGGAAGGTTGAGAACCACTGTTCTAGAACCTGGCCATCCAACCCGAAAAACTTACAACAACCCATGAAAGCCTTTGACAATACACTATGTCATACTTGCGCTAGGATACTTTATTCCAGAGGTGCTTTTTTCATAACAAATGGTGGAATTCAAGTTTTTATTCTTTGTTTGCTTCCTTTCTCTGCAGCCGGGCTTCTGTATCCTTACCCCAGGGATTGCTCCCAAGCTCTGCTGAATGGAGAGACAACCTCTGGCCTCTACACAGTTTATTTAAATGGTGACCAGTCACAGCCAGTCGAAGTTTACTGTGACATGACTTCTGATGGCGGAGGATGGATTGTGAGTATTTATCAGTTTAATTAGTATAGATTTTTGTAATTTTTTGTATTTTAAAAGAACTGCATTCACCACTGATTCCGCATTCATGGTTTTTCTTACCTGTTGTCATGTTGCCAGGGCTCTGCCAATATTTAGGCAGAGATGAACCAAACTCCCAGTTTGTATCAAGCAGTTTAATTAAAACAGCACTTCTGACTGTTTTAATAGTCCAAAATATAAAACATAAAGATAGCACTCAGCCACAGAATAAACCAAAACTGATAGCAAAAGCTACATCGTAGTCAAAGTCTCCAGTCCAGTGATCAAACTCTGACAGTTCAATAAACAAAGTCCAGAGATCAAGAGTCTATAACGTAGTCAACAGCCAGTCCAAAGATTCAAGGTTCAGGAGAAAAGTCAGGACACTGAAAAACACAAACCTGGGGGGAAACCAGCATCATCTAACACCAAAATAAAACAAATACTTTTCTCCCGAAATCAGTCCCAAGGCTCGCTCCTTATATCCAGAAACACCCAGCTGCAGGGCCCCCCGGTGGTGCAGTGGGTTAAACCCCTGTGCCGGCAGGACTAAACACCGACAGGTCACAGGTTCGAATCCAGGGAAAGGCAGATGAGCTCCCTCTATCAGCTCTAGCTCCTCATGCGGGGACATGAGAGAAGCCTCCCACAAGGATGATAAAACATCAAAATCATCTGGGCGTCCCCTGGGCAACGTCCTTGCAGACGGCCAATTCTCTCACAACAGGAGCAACTTGGAGTTCCTCAGGTCGCTCCTGACACGACAAAAAAAAAAAACCCAGCTGCAACCCATCTCTTGCATACCTCCACCCTTAATTGCTTTCACCAATGAACTCTTACTTACAGATTACTCAGCCCTTTAGAACTAAGACTTACATTAACCCTTCAATCACCAACTGCTAGGCCTACCACCGGCAACCACCAACAACTGCAGAACATGATACATGACACCTGTGGATGGTGCAAAATGGTGTCTATAGGAATTGGTGCCCTTCCCGCAGAGGATACCATAGTAATGTTGAAGAGCATAGGGAATAGAGTTGTGCGTGAACCATTTTCCTTCATTTCATCCGTTCTTTCGTTATTTTCGTTACCTTCGGGAGCACATAACGGGAAGACCGCTCCCAGTACGAAAATCAGCTCGACACAAAAGCAATCCGGAGCCAATTTTGGCTCCTTTCCTGCTTTCCATGAGCATGTGGTGCTCCATGCCTCCTTGCCTTGGAAAAAGTGTGTGTGTGGTGTGTAGGCCTAGAAAGCATGCGTGGCTGCCTGCAGCCAAGAGCCTCCTCTAGAGTAAGACTGAGAAATTGCTTCCTTGCCTTGGAAAGAGAGTGTGAGTGTGGCGTGTAGGCCTAGAAAGTTCACACACCTGCCTACAATCAAGAGGCTCCTCTAGAGTAAGACTGAGAAATTGCCTCCTTGCCTTGGAAAGAGAGAGTGTGTGTGGCGTGTAAGCCTAGAAAGTTCACACACCTGTTTACAGCCAAGTGCCTCCTCTAGAGTAAGAGTGAGAACTTGCCTTGACTTGGAAAGAGAGTGAGTGTGTGGTGTGCAGGTCCAGAAAGCATGCATACCTGCCTGCAACCCAGCACCTCTCCTCTAGAGTAGAAACAGGTAAGATGCCTCCTTAAAGCACATCCCTGCCTACAGCTGAGCATCCCTCCTCTAGAGTAAAAGAGCTAAATACCTAAAATGATGGGAAGGAGAGCCTGGGAAGCCCCCCTCCCTAATGGGCCAATAGAAAACAGATCTTTCAACACCCCAGAGTGAAAACAATTGGGAGCCTCCCAATTTCAGGAGGCTCCCAAAAAATGTATTGGTGCCCCCATTGAAAGCCAGGACTGAAATGGGTCAAGGTTTACCACAAATGCACAACCCTAATAGGGAATCTCTAAGCCCGCAATGCAATGGGATCAAAAGATGATTTAATGCTCTTCTGAGTGTGTCAGTGATTTCAAGAACATATAGAATCATAGAATCATAGAGTTAGAGGAGACCTCATGGGCCATCCAGTCCAACCCCATGCCAAGAAGCAGGAAAATCGCATTCGAAGCACCCCTGACAGATAGCCATCCAGCCTCTAGCATCATAGAATCATAGAGTTGGAAGAGACCTCATGGGCCATCCAGTCCAACCCCATTCTGTCAAGAAGCAGGAAAATTGCATTCAAAGCACCCTCGACAGATGGCCATCCAGCCTAAGTTTAAAAGCCTCCAAAGAAGGAGCCTCCACCACACTCCGGAGCAGAGAATTCCACTGCTGAACAGCTCTCACAGTCAGGAAGTTCTTCCTAAGGTTCAGATGGAATATCCTTTCTTGTTTTTTTGCTCCGCATCCTAGTCTCCAGAGCAACGGAAAACAAGCTTGCTCCTTCCTCCCTATTGACTTCCTCTCACATATATATACATGGCTATCATGTCTCCTCTCAATCTTCTCTTCTGAAAGCTAAATGTGCCCAGCTCTTTAAGCCGCTCCTCATAGAGCTTGTTCTCCAGACCCTTGATCATTTTAGTCGCCCTCCTCTGGACACATTCAGCTTGTCACTATCTCTCTTCAATCAGGGAGCACAGAATTGGACACAATATTCCAGGTGCGGTCTAACCAAGGCAGAATAGAGGAGTAGCCTTGGTATAGTAAGATCCTTGTATCTCCTGTGGATACAAGGGTCTTACTATACCAGAGAAATTAGAGAACTTTGGGTCTCCCAATTTACCCTGTTTTCCTGCCCCCCTCTATGTGTTTCTTTTTTTCTTCCATTCTAATTATATTTTTCCCTTTCCTACCAAGGTTTCCATTTTTCAACATTATTGTTCATTTGGCCCATTCTACTCCCCAAGCTTTGATTGAGCAATAGGATGCTTACGTTCCACGATCTGTTTCCAATGTTTGAAGAATTCAGGACTCTAGTAAGGACTCTAGTGCTGCCTAGAGGTCCACTGGAGCAATGAACACCCAAGTCTAGCTAAAGTTATTTCTCAGTTGATTGTGGAATATTGGGTAACTGTGCCCCTTAGTGACAGAGATTTGTACTGCTGGCTATGGATTACACTGGCCAACACACATTTTTATGCCTCAAAGTTTAGTTTTGTCCCTGGGTATATTTGACCGGCCGATTCCAAAAGTGTCATCGGTTTTTCCCAATCAGCTGTAGTTTTTGAGATACAGAACATATGCCATCTACAAGTCGCCATCTACTCATACATGATAAAGGTAAAGGTAGTCCCCTGACATTAAGTCCAGTCATGTCTGACTCTGGGGTGTGGTGCTCATCTCCATTTCTAAGCCGAAGAGCCAGCGTTGTCCATAGACACCTCCAAGATCATGTGGCCAGCATGACTGCATGGAGCGCCGTTACCTTCCCAGGAGCGTACCTATTGATCTACTCACATTTGCATGTTTTCGAACTGCTAGGTTGGCAGAAGCTAGGCTGACAGCGGAAGCTCACGCCGCTCCCCGGAATCGAATAACCATATCTAAAAAACTAGCACTGGGGGGGGGGGTCTATCCAATGTAAATTTCTGAATCAGCACCCCCAATAACCCCAGGAACAGCCAAGAAACTAAGTCTTGTTGGTCTGTGTTATTGTTGCTTCAAAGTTGACTTCAATTGAAGGGCCTCCAAGTTGATCCATCCCCAACGCTTTGCTCAGATCTTCCATATTCAGGACAAACTTACTCACTTACATGATCCCTCGTTGTCCGAGTAGGATAATCTTTCAGGGTGATCTGCATCTTCTCCCGCAGTGAGGGCATTGGTTTTCAGGTGGAAGGTGGTCCCGGTCGGGGTTGGCTTGATGCGCCTTCCTCTTGGCACATTTCTCTCTTTCACCCTCCATTCGTGCCTCTTCAAATTCTGCAGCACTGCTGGTCACAGCTGACCTCCAGCTGGAGTGCTCAAGGTCCAGGGCTTCCCAGTTCTCAGTGTCTATGCCAGAGTTTTAAAGGTTGGCTTTGAGCCCATCTTTCAATCTCTTTTCCTGCCCTCCAACATTCCGTTTTCCGTTCTTGAGTTCGGAGTAGAGCAACTGCTTTGGGAGACGGTGGTCGGGCATCTGGACAACGTGGCCAGTCCAGCGGAGTTGATGGCGGAGGACCATCGCTTCAATGCTGGTGGTCTTTGCTTCTTCCAGCACGCTGACATTTGTCCACTTGTCTTCCCAAGAGATTTGCAGGATTTTCCAGAGGCAGCACTGATGGAATCGTTCCAGGAGTTGCATGTGACGTCAGTTGACAGTCCATGTTTTGAGAGGCATATAGCAGAGTTGGGAGGACAATAGCCTATGTAAACAAGTTTCTTGGTATCCCTGTGGATGTCCTACTCCTCAAACACACTCTGCTTCCATATATATTCCACAGATATATAAACCCTTTTTCCCAGTTCCAACAGACCTCACCTCTGAGGATGCTTGCCATAGATGCAGGAGAAATGCCTCTAGAACATGGCCATATAGCCCGAAAAAACTCACAAGAACTTACTCTCTGCTTCATTCGGGAAAATGCTGCACTCGCAGAGCTCAGGCAATGTTGTATTTCAGTGTCAATGCTGACTTTTTTGACCCCCAGTGGAGTCAGTACCTTGGCCATCTGTAGATGGTCCACATCTAGCAGGCATATAGCAGAGTTGGGAGGACAATCGCTTTGTAAACAAGCACCTTGTTATCCCTATGGATGTCCCAGTCCTCCAACACTCTCTGCTTCATTCGAGAAAATGCTGCACTCACAGAGCTCAGGCGGTGTTGTATTTCAATGTCGATGTTGACTTTGGTGGAGAGGTGGCTGCCAAGGTAGCGAAAATGGTCAACATTTTCTAATGTTACTCCATTAATCTGTATTTCTGGCATTGGAGAGGGATTGGCTGGTGACTGCTGGAAGACGACTTTGGTTTTCTCGATGTTCAATGACAGGCCGAGCTTCTCATATGCTTCTGTGAAGGTGTTTAGAGTGGCTTGTAAGTCGTCTTCTGAATGTGCACAGATGACGTTGTCATCAGCATACTGGAGTTCTATAACAGATGTTGTTGCAACCTTGGTTTTGGCTTTCAGTCTGCTGAAGTTAAATAACTTGGCTTCTATGATTAAGTCTGTCCATCTGTAATGCAGTCTTCCACTTTTCCTGCTGTCTCGTAACCATACCAAGCATTATCATCTTTTCCAGCAATTCATTTATTCTCCTAATATGACCAAAGCACAACAGACTCGGTTTAATCATCTTGACTTCGAAGGGAAAGTTGAGGTCTGATGTATTGTCAAAGGCTTTCATGGCTGGAATCACTGTATTGTTGTGGGTTTTTCGGGTTTTATGGCCATGTTCTAGAAGCATTCTCTCCTGATGTTTCGCCTGCATCTATGGCAGGCATCCTCAGGGGCTGTGAAGATTTTCTTCAGTCCAGGAATGTGCTGCATGTGCTGTCACTGAACTGCTGCCTTGAATCAGATGAAGACTCTGGTCTAAAGTGTGATTGAAAACCTACACACTGCAAGTAGGCTGCATCGTTTTAATACCAATTGTTCTTTTCTGTGCTACTAGGTGTTTTTAAGAAGGCAGAATGGAGCAGAGGATTTCTACAGAAACTGGAGGACATACGAGGCTGGCTTTGGTGACCCCAAGGGTGAATTCTGGCTGGGTAAGTGGCTGTAATTGAATGATGGATGGAGCTTTAGGAGAGGAATGGAAAGAATATACGCACAGTTGGAAAGGGAGTGTGGCCATTATTATTTATTTACAGTATTTATTTTCCGCCCTTCTCACTTCGCAGGGGATTCAGGGCAGATTACAATGCACATACACATGGCAAACATTCAATGTCAATTAGACATACAACATATATAGACAGACACAGAGGCAATTTAGTATTCAACCTTTTCCAGCTTCGTGAGGTTATGCTCGATTCCGGCCACAGGGGGAGCTGCCGCTTCACCATCTATTTGTGACACTGAGTCCTTTGGTGGAGTACTTCCTCATTCTTCTGAATGCCGCTGGAAAGTTTTATGGCATTGTAAATTAGTTAAATTCGCCTCCCCTCATAGAATCATAGAGTTGGAAAAGACCTCATGGACCATCCAGTCCAACCCTCTGCCAAGATGCAGGAAAATTGCATTCAAAGCACCCCCAACAGATGGCCATCCCGCCTCTGTTTAAAAGCTTCCAAAGAAGAAGAGAGTTCCACTGCTGAATGGCTCTCACAGTCAGGAAGTTCTTCCTAATGTTCAAATGGAATCTCCTTTCTTGTAGTTTGAAGCCATTGTTCAGTACCTAAATTTCCTACTTGACAGATATCTTTTGGGCTGCATAGGTTGACAGCAAGCTAGACTAATGGCCAGAAGCTTACTCCGACCTGGTCAAGAGGTCAGTAGTGACTTAATGAGTCGCCTGAGGGCTGAGAAAAGCGGTATATAAATAAAGTAAATAAAGTAAATAATAATGTAGCTGATTATCAGATAGCTGCACCACAGCCCAGTCCATTATGGCTACTTTCTGATGATCAAGGCTTTTGCAGAGTGTTATTACTATAGTAATATTACATGTAATATAAAATATATAATTATAATATTGTATTATTATTCGTAGTATTATATTTATATAATATTATCAATATTATATGTATATACAATATATTATATTATATTATTTGCACAGTACAGGAGACAAGATGGAATTGTCTCTTCCTACTTGTTCTCTCGCCCTCATTAGTAATTATTGTCTTCATAACCCTACTCAAGTCTCTAGGCCACATATGGTCCGGTTTTCATATCGGAGGGTATAGATTCCCAGCTAACTAATTACAGGAACCTATGATCCATGTTGGTGTCTGTGAAAAACTTTTGTCAGAAGCAAAGTCCTCATGTATCAGAGTTGGAAGGCCAAAAGATGACGGGGAAATCCTCCTCGTGCAGTCTGATCGTATTCTTGTTCCTTGTAGGTCTGGATAAGCTGCACAAGATAACTTCCGCAGCCCAGTATGAACTGCGTGTGGATCTGCGGGATCATGGAGAGACTGCCTATGCTCTCTATGAGAAGTTCACTGTGGGAGATGCCAGGACTCGCTATCGGCTCAAAGTTGATGGATACAGTGGCACAGCAGGTGAGTTTCCTGGTTTGCATGGGCAAACTTGGGCCCTCCAGGTGTTTTGAACCTAAACTCCCACAATTCCTAACAGCCAGTAGGTCTAGAAGCTGAAACACACAACAAGGAAAGTCCTAAAAATTGCGTAATTTTGGAGGAATATTATTTATCCCTCTAAAATTATTTAAAACTAGCCAACCCCTGCCACTCATTGCTGTGGCCCACATGGGGGTTCTGTGTGGGAGGTTTGGCCCAATTCTATCGTTGGTGCGGTTCAGAATGCTCTTTGACTGTAGGTGAACTATAAATCCCAGCAACTACAACTCCCAAATGTCAAGATTCTATTTCCCCCAAACTCCATCAGTGTTCACATTTGGGCATATTGAGTATTCGTGTAGAGTTTGGTCCAGATCCATCATTGTTTACGTCCACAGTCATATTTGGATGTAAGTGAACTACAAATCCAAACCCAAAGGACAGTGTCCACCAAACCCTTCTAATATTTTCTGTTGGTCATGGGAGAACTGTGTGCCAAGTTTGGTTCAATTCCATCATTGGTGGGGTTCAGAATGCTCTTTGATTGTAGGTGAACTACAAATCCCAGCAACTACAACTCCCAAATATCAAGATTCTATTTCCCCCAAACTCCACCAGTGTTCACATTTGGGCATGTTGAGTATTCTTGTAGAGTTTGGTCCAGATCCATCATTGTTTAAGTCCACAGTGATCTCTGGATGTAGGTGAACTACAACTCCAAAACCAAAGGACACTGCCCACCAAACCCTTCCAGTATTTTCTGTTGGTCTTGGGAGAACTGTGTGCCAAGTTTGGTTCAATTCCATCGTTGGTGGGGTTCAGAATGCTCTTTGATTGTAGGTGAACTATAAATCCCAGCAACTACAACTCCCAAATGACAAAATCAATTCTTTGAGTGAAGGACATACATTGGGTTGTTAGGTGTCTTGTGTCCAAATTTGGTGTCAATTCGTCCAGTGGTTTTTGAGTTCTGTTAATCCCACAAACAAACATTACATTTTTATTTATATAGATTCGATAGAGTTACAAGCTTGGTAGATGCAGGGAATGCTGTGGATGTAACATATCTTGATTTCAGGAAGGCCTTCAACAGAGTCCACCATGACCTTCTTGCAAGCAAACTAGTCCAATGTGAGCTAGGCAATACTACCATTTAAGTGGATCTGTAATTGGTGCTTCTCCCCAATGTTTCCTCTGCTTCATCCTGGAAAGAAGTGACAAGTGGAGTGCCATAAAGAGGGTTCAGTCCAGGGCCCAGTACTGTTCAACTTCTTTATTAATGACTTGGATGAAGATAGGATCATACTAGATTGTGCTTGAAGGCACATGACAACAATGGGATAGAAGTATAACCATAGATGATGCATACCAGCAGATCTCCATCTTCTTGAAGGCATTAGTCCAAAGATGGAGGTCCTAGGTCAACCTTCCTCATGCCGCGACCCCTTAATACAGTTCCTCATGTTGTGGTGACCCCCAACCATAACATTATTTTTGTTGCTACTTCATAAGTGTCATTTCGCTCCTGTTGTGGATCGTCATGTAAATATCCAATAGACAAGATGTATTTTCATTCACTGGACCAAATATAGCACAAATTTGAATCCTGGTGGGGTTGGGGATATTGATTTTGTCCTTTGGGAATTTTAGTTGCTGGGATTGATAGTTCACCTACAGTCAAAGAGCATTCTGAATCCCACCAGCAATGGAATTGAACCAAACTTGGCACACAGAACTCTCATGGCCAACAGAAAATACTAGAAGGGTTTGGTGGGACCTTGAGTTTTGGAGTTGTAGTTCACCTACATCCAGACAACACTGTGGACTCAAACAATAATTAATCTGGACCAAACTTGGCACGAATCCTCAATATGGCCAAATGTGAACACCGGTGGAGTTTGGGGAAAATAGACCTGGTTGCTGGGATTTATAGATGGTTGCTGGGATTTATAGTTCACCTAAAATCAAAGAGTATTCTGAACCCCACCAACGATAGAATTGGGCCAAACTTCCCACACAGAACCCTCATGACCAATAGAAAATACTATGTATAGTCGAAGGCTTTCATGGCTGGAATCACTAGGTTCTTGTGGGTTTTTTCGGGCTATAGGGCCATGTTCTAGAGGCATTTCTCCTGACGTTTCGCCTGCATCTATGGCAAGCATCCTCAGAGGTAGTGAGGTCTGTTGGAATAGGACAATGGGTTTATATATCTGTGGAATGGCTGGGGTGGGGCAAAGAGCTCTTCTCTGCTGGAGCTAGGTGTGAATGTTTCAACTGACCACCTTCATTAGCATTTGATGGCCTGGCTGAGCAGCACCTCACTACCTCTGAGGATGCTTGCCATAGATGCAGGCGAAACGTCAGGAGAAATGCCTCTAGAACATGGCCCTATAGCCCGAAAAAACCCACAAGAATCTAGAAAATACTATGTTTTCTGAAGGTCTTTGGTGACCCCTCTGACACCCCCTCACAACCCCCCCAGGGGTCCCGACCCCCAGGTTGAGAAATGCTGCTCTAGTGGTATAGTTCCAGATACTTCAAAAACAAATGATCTAAGATGTGCATTTTCTTCTCATTCCTATGATATAGGTGATTCAATGACCTATCATAATGGAAGGTCCTTTTCGACCTTTGACAAAGACAACGATTCGGCCATCACAAACTGTGCATTATCATACAAAGGAGCGTTCTGGTACAAAAACTGCCACCGGGTCAACCTGATGGGGAGATATGGGGACAACAGCCACAGTCAGGTAAGGCTTGTTGATTTATTTACTCTTGTAAGAAGTTTACTGACTGTTTTGCTCAAAGCATGCCTTCACATTCCCTGCTGATTTAGGGCAACTCTATGGATTTCATCGGGTTTTAATATAATATAATAATATAAATAATAATATGCTTGATTTATATCCCACTCTATCTCCCTGAGGGGACTCAGGGCAGATTACAGAACACATATATGGCAGACATTCAATTCCATTATACAATTCACAAGGACAGATGATACAGAGTAAAGGCTTTTCTCATCTTTCCCATTTCCGGCATCTGGAGGCTGTGCTCAACTCTGGCCATGGCGAAGTGCTGCCGCTCCATCTTCCATGCCAAGGAGCTTTGTCATCCATTTCCAGCTTCTGGAGGCTGTGCTCAACTCTGACCACAGGGGGATGCTGTAGTTCCATCTTCCATGCCGAGGGCCTTTGTTGTCCTTAGATGTCCTCCCGATCAAATCACCAGCATGTCCTTATGGGCACCTTTTTAATACCTCCCCGCTTAAAGCAGTACCTACCTACGTATCTACTCACATTTCTGTTTTCGATCTGCTCGGTGGGCAGGGAGCTGGGGCTGACGGTGCGTGCTCACCCCGACTCAGGCTTGAACTGATATAGGGCAATGTAGATCCAGTCTTTGCTTATTATTTATTTTGTATCAAAAGCATTGCATAAATTAGTATAAAACTGATAAAAATAGAAGGAGCGCAGGCGGCTAAATATCTTTTGACCAAAAATGGGCAACAGCAATGGCATTGTCTGTAGCCTCCAACAATTCTTCCTCTGTACATGAGGCAGGACGCAGTGGACAAGAATACAGATGTGGAGTTGTTTGTTCTGTTCCACAGTCACACAAAGTTTGGGATTTTTTAAGGTAGTGCTATTTTGCCAGGTTGTCTTTTGACCTGCCCACTCTGCTTCTGAGTCTGTTCAGGGACTTCCAAGTTGCCCATTCTTGGTTTGCCCCTGGAGGAAGACCCTCTTGGGGGGCCATCCAGTTGGGATTTCCTGGTTTAGCAGTCCAGAGGGATACCCTTTCTTGTTGCTGGGGGGGATGCCAAGAGGAGTGGTAGTTCTCATAAAGCTTTTCCTTGATTTGAGTCTACTGGGAGGAGGCTGGTAGCTAAGTAGTGGGTGGCTTTCACAGTGTTCAACATAGCATTGAATGAAACATGCAGAATAATTACAGGATGTCTCAAACCTACACCTGTTGATAAACTCTACAAGCTAGCTGGCATTGCCCCCCCCCCCCATGTGCAACGGGAAGTTGCTGCTAAATGTGAGAGAAATAAGGTTGAACACTGTGAAAGCCACCCACTACATGGCTACCAGCCTCCTCCCAGTAGACTCAAATCAAGGAAAAGCTTTATGAGAACTACCACTCCTCTTGGCATCCCCCCAGCAACAGCAAGGGTATCCCTCTGGGCAGCTAAATCAGGAAACCCCAACTGGATGGCTCGGGGGCAATGCCAGCTAGCTTGTAGAGTTTATCAACAGGTGTAGGTTTGAGACATCCTGTGATTATTCTGCATGTTTCCATCCTAAATATCTCGGTGTCACCTTGGATTGAACACTAGAATATAGGAAACACTGCTTGAATGACGGGGAGATATTGGAAATATAGATATTTATTTATACATATATTGTATGCACATTAGAAGCACTGAAATGTAAGAAAAATCAGGCTCTCTCTGTATTAGAAAGCCGAGCTGACAGGCCAGAAAGAATGCAGAAGTATCTGTGTCCAGCCACAGCGGGGGGGGGGTGAACATTCCAGGAGGGGGGAGATAAGAAAGGCCTGGTACAAATATTTATTTATTTATTTATTTATTTATTTATTTATTTATCTACAGCATTTTTACCCCATCCTTTGAACCCCCGGGAGGGGGGGGGGGTAAAAATGCTGTAAATAAATACATAAATATTTGTGCCAGGCCTTTCTTATCTCCCCCCTCCTGGAAAGTTCAGAGCAGTTCACATAGGCAGCAATTCGATGCCACAACAACAAATAACACCAGTATAAAACATAAATACATAGCAGGTTCGCAGCTTGGGTGTGATCCTGGACTCTTCGCTAAGCTTGGAACCCCAAGTTTCGGCGGTGTCCAGGGGAGCATTTGCACAACTCAAACTTGTGCGCCAGTTGCGCCCGTACCTTGGGAAGTCTGACTTGGCCACGGTAGTCCACGCTCTGGTTACATCCCGGATTGATTACTGCAACGCGCTCTACGTGGGGTTGCCCTTGAAGACTGCCCGGAAGCTTCAGATGGTCCAGCGCTCGGCAGCCAGGTTGCTAACGGGAGCGGCACTCAGGGAGCACACCACTCCTCTGCTGAGCCAGCTCCACTGGCTGCCAATCTGCTACCGGGCACAATTCAAGGTGCTGGCTTTAGCCTATAAAGCCCTAAACGGTTCTGGCCCCGCTTACCTCTCCGAACGCATCTCCACCTATGAACCGACCAGAACATTAAGATCGTCTGGGGAGGCCCTGCTCTCGATCCCGCCTGCGTCACAGGCGCGCTTGGCGGGGACGAGAGACAGGGCCTTCTCAGTGGTGGCCCCTCGGCTATGGAATGCCCTACCGGCAGACATCAGACAGGCACCTTCGCTGCTGACGTTTCGGAGAATGGTTAAGACCTGGCTTTATGAACAAGCGTTTGGTTAAGCAGTGCAACCAATCATAGGAAGACGGTAAATGGAACATAGGAATGGCACAAGGATTATGAGAACGGATCTGATTTCAACTGAGGCATTATGTTATGTCTGTTTTGTTGATCTGTCTTGTTGATTGTTAACTGTTGTGGATTGATGCTGTTGATCCTGTTCGTTGCATTGTTATGTTTTAATTGCACTGACACTGTTTGATAATTGTACCATGTAAACCGCATTGAGTCGCCTGTTAAGGGCTGAAAAATGCGGTATAGAAATAAAGCAAATAAATAAATAAATAATAAGTTTAAAACAGTAACAATTAGTTATATCATCACATCATCACATATCCGTTTCCAAGTTATCGTAACTCTAGTTCATGTTCAAAGTGCTGCTGCACCCCCTAGCCAAAGGCCCGGTTCCATAGCCATGATTTTAGTTTTTTCCTGAAGGAAAGGAGGGAGGACGCTGATCTAATCTTGCTGGGGAGCAAATTCCACAAGCGGGGGGTCACCACCGAGAAGGCCCTGTCCCTCGTCCCCACCGGTGGGGACCGAGAGCAGGGCCTCCACAGCAGATCTTAGATTATGAGATGAAACATAGAGGGAGATACCTTTAGATAAATAAGCTGGGTCGGAACCGTATAGGGCTTTATAGGCCAAGACCAGCACTTTGAATTGTGCTCGGAAGTGGACCGGCAGCCAGAGATAAAAGTAAGGAGCCTATCTCTCTCCCTCCTGACAGGTGAAAGTAGGCCCCTTGATGGATGTAAGCTGTAAACTGCTTTTGAAAAAAATATAGAGAGACATGCCTCTTGCATGTTGGAAGATAGAATTTAATATTTCTATGATGCTAAAGTGACTAGTGATTATGTTTCTTTCTTTGCCTGCATTTGAAGAGGTATAAAAGGCAGAGTCAACGCCTTTATCCTCACTCTGGTTTGCTTTTGGATGAGAGTCCATGCCAAAGTCCCATCTGGAAATAAACATACTTTTCTGACCTCCAAACAAAGGATAGCTCTGGGTATTCTCTCTCTCTAATCTCTGTTCATTCATTCACCGCTTTGCTTGTCTTTTGCAGGGTGTCAACTGGTTCCATTGGAAAGGCCATGAATATTCCATCCAATTTGCCGAGATGAAACTGAGGCCCTACAGTTTCCGGAACCTGGAAGGGAGGCGGAAAAGAGCATAGACCACCCTCCGTGATCCGAGAGAGAGATTGAGACAAAATTGAACTGGGAAGAAAGTTTGTTTGTTTCTTCCTAGGAAATTGGGGAAGGGAAATTAGCAGTGAGGATGGGTCCTTTACCAAAGCATTGGTGTTGCTCAACCTAACCTTGGCTCCTTTGACCGTGTTTTTTTAAAAGGGGGGATAGTGGGTGGGAAAGCCTTCTTCAAACCATAGCATGCTCAATGGGGCACCCTTCTTCTGTACATAAACGGCTTGTTTTGCACCAAAGATGACGATCCAGAGGGAGATTTGGGGGGACAATTTTCTATACTGTCTCCCCCCACAACTCTTTGGTCAACAGAAATCTTTGGGCAAGGGCTCTTTAAGAGGAAAAAAGAGATAATCGGGCACTTCTCCAAGCAAACCCGCTTTGTTTCTATTCTTTTTTTCCATTCCAAAACATGTCACTTTCATGAGCATTGTTAGCCATCCTTAAGCTTGAGCTGGTCACCTTTATGTTTTTTTTCTCTCTTCCTTTTCAACCATATATACATATATATATGGAGCCATGCAGAAAAGAGGGCACAAAGACAAGCAATCCTGTTTCAACTTTTCTGCCTAAAGTTAATATTATTAATATAATGAAAATAATAAGGATGATGGTAATAAGCTAAATTTTGTCATTTATTTGTAAAGAAAGAAGGAAAGAGAAACCCATGCTTTCCAAAAGACAACAGGGCAGTGTCTGATTGTAAATGTTTTTAAAGAAAAAAAATTGAATAAAAGCACAATTTTACTTTTACAGAGATTTCCAGTTTTCTTTCTATGTTGTATTGTTTTTGTGCATAGTCCAGATATATGCCAGAAATACAGCTTAATGGTGTACAGGGGCGGCTCGTCCATTATGCGAAGTAAGCGGTCGCAGAACACTTTTTTTGTCAGGGGCGCAGAGGCGCCTCTGTAAATGCCCCTCGACCGCCACTTGAGGACGCCCCCTCAGCTCACAACAGCTCTAGCAGTCGGGGGGGAGCTTCGGTTTTCTTGCCTCGCTGCCGGGCGATCCTCTTTCCAAAGGGGCCGGGCCCTTGAGCCTCGCCTCACCCCTCTCATTCCTGCTCCACCTGGCCACCGGGTGCGCGACCAGAGCTGGTGCTCAATCGTTCTCCGCATTCGATCCCTTCCCCATGACCGGCTCCCTTTCCCGATCCCCTGGCGCTCCACCTGCCTCTTCTCCTCTCCCCAATCCGCGAGTGGGCCAAGGGGCGGAGCCGCCGCGCCTGGCCCGCTTTGGGTCCGGAGGCATGTTTGAAGACCCCAGCGTGTGCACCAAAAGTCGTCTCTTCTCCTGACTTTCTCTTCAGCCATTGGGACCAAGAGAGAGAGAGAGAGAGAGCCCCTCCGGCTGGAGGTATATCCCACCTCCGCTCCCTCCTTTGTTTTTGCGCCTACCTTCAGGAAAGGTGGGCATCTCCACCTCTCTCTCTCTCTCTCTCTTGGTCCCAATGGCTGAGGAGAAAGTCAGGAGAAGAGGTGACTTTTGGTGCACACGCCGGGGTCTTCAGGCACGCCTCCGGACCCAAAGCGGGCCAGGCAAGGGAGCAAGGGCGGCAAGTGTAGCTACTGGGATGTATAGTTCACCTACAATCAAAGAGCATTCTGAAATCCACCAATGATGGAATTGAACCAAATATGGCACACAGAACTCCCACGACACACAGAAAATATTTATCAGTGATTGGTGGGGGGGGGGGGCAAAATACTGTTTGCTTACCGTTGAAAATTACCTAGTGCCGCCTCTGATTGTGTAACATTAATTATAGTTTATCTGCAATCAATGAGCACTCTAAACTCCACCAAATCCAAAATGTCCAGGCCAATTCCCCTCAAACCACCAGTATTCATATTTGGGTATATCGGGTATGCATACCAAGTTTGGTCCAGATCCATCATTGTTTGGGTTCATAGTGCGCTTTGGATGAAGGTGAACTACAACTCCTATAAATCCCTCCAAAGACCTCCAATATATATATATATATATATATTGGTCATTGAGGTTCTGTGTGCCAAGTTAGTTCCAGGTCCATTGTTGGTGGAGTTCAGCGTGCTCTTAGATTGCAGGTGAACTATACATCCCAGGACCTACAATTCCTATAAATCATGGTGAATTCTCCCCAGACCTCTCTAGTATGTTCAGTTGCTGATCAATTCTGCTTTGTTTGCTGTGTGCTATAGAAAAGAAAAGGGTTAAGGGAGAGGCAGTGGGCAGGGTCATGCAAATTCTGCACCAATGGAGAGAGTCAGAAACACTGGGATGTCTGTGGTGGAAGAAACACATACATTCTAGGATGGAATTGTCCCCGTATGAAAGCCTTCACTTGGTGGTGTTTGTGAAGGACATTGGCAAGGCTTTTGGACATGTTCATGGCACTTGCTATAACCTGCAATGTCATTGGAGGGAGGGCCTTTGGTGTCTCCGGAGTGATGGGAGTTATAACTGTTTGTGGACGCAGGAGTGTGTCTGTCTAAGTGGAAACCTCAACCACACACATTGACTTTTATTATGTGTATAATTTCTTCCAAAAATACATCTCTCTTTCCAACAGCAGAGGGCAGACAAGCTCCACCTTGGTGAGCCAAAAAAAACCTCTCCATACTTAGCAGCATCTCTCACAAAGCATTTTGGTTATCACCACAACAATCCCCAGAATTAGCTGGATTCAAGGCTTAAACCAAATGTTGTTGAACTATGACTCCCACTGTCTCCCAGCATTAGATAAGAGTGGCTAGGCTGATGGGACTTTCCACCCAACATCAGGTAGCAATCCATAAGAGGCATCCTATCTTTTGCTGAATTCTGATATAATAATAATCTAAATAAAAATGTAATGTTCGTTTGTGGGATTAACATAACTCAAAAACTACTGGACGAATTGACACCGAATTTGGACACAAGACACCTACTCACGCAAGGAGTGACCTTCACTCAAAAAAATTGATTTTGTCATTTGGGAGTTGTAGTTGAGGGATTTATAGTACACCTACAATCAAAGAGCATTCTGAACTCCACCAATGATGGAATTGAACCAAACATGGCACACAGTTCTCTCATGACCAACAGAAAACACTGGAAGGGTTTGGTGGACATTGACATTGAGTTTGGGAGTTGTAGTTCGCCTACATCCAGAGAGCACTTTGGACTCAAATAATGATGGATCTAGACCAAACTTGGCACAAATATTCCGTATGCCCAAATATGAACACAGGTGGAGTTTGGGGAAAATAGACCCTGACATTTGGGAGTTGTAGTTACTGGGATTTATCATTCACCTACAATCAAAGAGCATTCTGAATACAAGAAATATTATAAATAAGCACATCAGACAATATAAAATCACAATTTTTGAGCAGAGAGAATTAATCATAGTGGGCAGGACCGATTGCAAGGACTAAAAGTTTAAAAACACTGGGTAAGAGAGCAGTATAGTGCTATGATATGCCATGGGCTCTCAGTCAATTGGCACCATGGGAACTACTTGATATCAGATAAATTTACTTTCTGGTTGCTTGAGAGTTACTATTAAAAATACATCTAAGTAATACTATCCCTCATACAGGCAAAGATTGTAATGATCCAAAAAGCTATAGACCAATCTCCTTGTTGTGCCATCTTTATAAAGCTCTGGAGAGATTATCCTGCACAGAATAATGGGAGAAAATAGGCCCATGTATGTTCCCACAGCAAACTGGTTTCAGGAAAGGGAAAAACTGCAAATCACAAGTGCTGAACCTGTCTCTACACATAGAAGATGGTTTTGAAAGACAGCAGATTACAGCAACTGTCTTCATAGTCCTGTCAGCAGCTTATGACGCTGTAAAACTATGCTAATAATAATAATAAAAATAATAATCTTTTTATTATTGTTGTTGTTGTTGTTGTTGTTGTTGCAAAGACTGTAATGTTTCTTTGTGGGATTAACAGAACTCAAAAACCATTGGACAAAGTGACACCAAATTTGGACACAATACACCTATCAGGCCAACGAGTGATCAACACTCATAAAAACACTGAAAAACGCTGCAGAAGAGACTTTAAAAGCCAAAAAAACAAAAAATACATTACAATGCATGCGCAAAACCACATATATATGCGCTAACACATATACACATATACACATATACACAAATTTATACACATATATATACACACATAAAACACATATGCACAGACTGGGCCACAGCAACGTGTGGCAGGGGACGGCTTGTGTGTGTGTGTGTGTGTGTGTGTAGTATGTATATATATCTTGTAAGCTGCTCTGAGTCCCCTTCAGGGTGAGAAGGGCGGCATATAAATGTTGTAAACAAAAGGCCAGATGGAACAAAGAGAAGACAAAGAAAATAAAAGAAATTATGGAGGAAATACAGAAAAAGGAAGAAGAACTGAAAAGAAACCCAAAAAATAAAGAAACAGCCCATAAATTGACTTTACTACAAAAGAAAAGAGAACACACAGAATTGGAAGAAAGAGCCAAAGAACTAAAATTCATAAAAGCAGAAAAGAGAGAATCAAGGTATATAGTAAAAATCAAGGAAAAAGAAAAAACGTACACATCGGAAGCAGAAATAAGAGACCAATTTGCAAACTACTATAAGAAATTATATCAAGATGACCAAATAAAGAAGGAGAAGATCACCCAATATTTAGGAGAAAAGAAAATCAGCAAAATATCGGAAGAGGAGAGAGAAGCGCTTAATAAGGAAATCTTGGAAGAGGAAATCAGATCTGCAATAAAAAAATTAAAGACAAATAAGGCCCCCGGCCCAGATGGGCTGAGCGCAATTTATTACAAAACAATGATGGAAGAAATCATATCATTTCTAAAAAAAACGCTAAATGAGATAAGAGAGAGGAAGGAAATGCCAGAAAGCTGGAAACAAGCAAATATTTACATTATACCGAAGGAAAAAAAAGACCCTGAACAACTTAAAAATTATAGGCCAATCTCTTTACTTAATTTGGATTATAAAATATTTAGCAGCATATTGGCAGAGAGACTAAAGAATTTCTTAACAAATTGGATAAAAGAAGAACAATCGGGATTTTTACCAAATCGTTACCAACGTGATAATGTGAGAACTATTATAAATCTGATTGACTATTACGACAAAAATATCCAAAAGGAAGTGATGTTCCTGGCCTTGGATGCTGAAAAGGCATTCGACCAGATCAATTGGAATTTTTTCAAACTACTATTGCAAGAGATGGACATTGGCTATTATTTTTTAAATTCAATTGAAGCTATTTACAAAAATCAACAAGCGAGAATCATAGTAAACGGCCAGGAAACAAAACAAATTGAAATAAATAAAGGAACCAGACAGGGCTGCCCGCTCTCGCCTCTGATCTTCATTTTAACAATGGAAATTTTATTGAATGAAATAAGGGGAAATAAAGAACTGAAAGGAGCCACAATTAGAGGACAAACATACAAATGTAGGGCATTTGCCGATGACGTTATTTGTATAATTGAGGACCCATCTACAAAATTAGAAAAATGGTTTGAAACAATCGAAAAATTTGGGAAGGTAGCGGGCTTTAAATTAAATATGGACAAAACAGAAGCAATAACAAAAAACATCCCCAAGAAGAATTTGGCTACAATTGAGAAAAAATGGAATATCAAAATAGCATCAAAAATAAAATATCTGGGAATTACTATCTCGCCAAATAACGCACAATTGCTTCAAAATAATTATACAATAAAATGGAATGAAATCAAACGAGATCTGGAAAAATTGAAAAAT